AGGAGGAGGAGGAGGAGGGGAGGTCATTGTCGTTGCGGCCGGCGATTCAGTGTGGACCTAGCACTCCTCTCCAGGCAGGATGGTTTGTGCCGGCGCTGACATCGAAGTCACCAAAAACAATTAACTTCTCCGCCTTCGACACAGACGCTAGGAGGGCGTGCAGGTCCTCGTGAAATTTTGCCTAAGCTTCGTCAGAGTCGGTCCTTGTTGAGGCGTAGGCGTTGATAATGATGGCGAAGTTGAATCCACGAAGAGGCTGGCGTTGGCTCATCAGGTGATCATTGATGCCCTACGGCGGACAGAGCAGTCGTCCCAAGATGTCATTCCGGATGGCAATGGCGACGCTCGCGTCTCGTCGCTCTGTCCTAAGACGGCCGCTCTAGAAGAAGGTGCAGCCGACACCCACCTCCTCCAGTTGGCCTTGTTCGGAGAATAGAGTATCGCTGAGTGTAACGATGTCCACATTATATCGCGCCGGTTTCTAAGCCATTGGAGCCGTCCTTCGTTCCGGTTGGTTGCTCCGCAGATTATCTAAAAGGGAACGAACATTCAGGGCTACCAGAGTGATGGGACTAACCCTAACTGCCTGTTGGGTGGAGCGGAGGTGAGAAGGTAGAAGAGGGAGTATTGTTTCTGTTTTGATGGTTTCGACCGCATGTGTAGCAGTCTGCGAGCCACGGTCTGCGCGCAGATCTCGTGAACTCAGCTTTGTTTAGGGCACTTTTTATAACTCCCTCCTCGCGGGAGTAAGCAATGACCTCCCTAAGTAGGGTGTTTTGTCGCACAAGACGGACGCTGTTCTCCTCTATGGGTCACGGGGTTTAACGAGAGGACCGCCAATGGTCTGGGCCGCCTAGGGGGTTGCATGGTGTCCTCGCCGTAGAACTTTCGACCGTGGGGGAAGAGGGTGGAATAGAGAGTAGAGAAGAGGAGGAGGAGGAGGAGGAGGAGGAGGAGGGAGGGGAGTGGAATTACCGTGTGGGGGAATACACACATGCATACCCTCACCTGGTTTAGCCTGCCGGCCGAGGCGGTTACCGAGGTGTGGCCGCTAGACAGAACCTAGCTCCGGGGAGCCATAGGTGGGAGTTGGATGCCAATTGATGAACGCTAGGTGCAGTCAACACCTGCAAGCAAGTGAGCGACCTACTACGACCTTCACATGGATGCACAACTGAACACCCCCCCCCATTCGATGGTAACATCGGCAATGGCCCAACACATACGCGGGACAGACTAATAGCATTCGGTCATCGGCTGTCTTCAAGTCCTGCGTCTTAAGGTTGAGTCAGGGGTCCGTTGTTTTATCGAAATCTAATGAAAAGGAGAGCTGTTTGGCCACGTTTGGTACTAATGCAATAGAACAGACATTTTGGCTTCTCCCCCGGCCAGACCGTGGGATCATCTTCTTTCTTTTGAAACCTGGGACTCACTACGGCCTCATTTAAGTGTGTCGCCAACCCTGGCGTCATGCTGACCTCGATCGCGGACCTACATATTTTCCCGTATTGGCCCATCCTCCCCAAGTTTCTCCTTCCATTAATTTCCTGATGTTTCACAACACAGAGGACGAATTTTGACGAAAATATTTGTCTTTTGATGTAGCGGACGCTGAGTTAGCGATAACAACAATAATGGCGTGTATGGAAATCCCACCATCGAGTGAAAGCTTTCGTAGGCTATGACTGCACGCTTTCATTTACTGTGTTCTCTTAAGTCGTTAAGCTAGAACCCCCCCTCCCCCAATTTATTTTATGATAACCATGACCAAAATGTCCAACGACTTTTTGAGCGGAATCGATATCATGCGACTGGAACTGTGGGCTCAATTTGCACAAATCGCAGTGACTGTCTTCTTACTGATAACAAATGTACCATTGTAATTTTTGCACATCTCTGCCCTGACTCTACATACTGGCGCGACCTCTCTGTAATGTGTCAGGTGGCTTAGCGTGTGAATCCCGATACCATAAAAGACAATTATCTCCAGCAGCTAATTTAGAGATCCCAAAGTGAAATATAACTACGCGCCTGCAACCAGTCAACCACCTCATTTAATGCAAACGCATTTCTCGACAAAGGAACTCGCCTGTTCGCTTCTATCGGCAATCTCTTTGGGTGCGATGGGCTCCGATCTACTCGACGGTGGGAAACATTTGCCCTTCGTAAGTCGTCTACATATGCGCAAAGGACGTAACATCCCGTGATTTTGTCGGTGACCATTAATGCTGGTCCACTTATTTCGAAGTGACGATTTTAACTTTAAACAGCTGGGCCATACAGTTGGCATAATTATTTCGATT